CTTTGGAACTCTGCACTCAGATGGGTATTTCTTCCCTTTCCTCCTTTGCCTTTAGCTTCTTTTCTTAACTCAGCTATTTGTAAGCCCTCCTCAGACAACCATTTTGCCTTTTTACATTTCTTTTTCTTGGGGACGATCTTGATCACTGCCTCCTGTACAAAGTCACGGACCTCTGTCCATAGTTCTTCAGGCACTCTATCAGATCTAATCCCTTGAATCTATTTGTACTTCCACTGTATAATCATAAGGGGTTTGATTTAGGTCATACCTGAATGGGCCCTTGAATCTATTTGTCACTTCCACTGTATTACAGTAAAGGATTTGATTTAGGTCATACATGAATGGTTGGGCTTCCCTGATAGCTCAGTTCATAAAGAATCTGCCTGCAATGCAGGAGACCCTCGTTCAGTTCCTGGGTTTGGAAGATCTGCTGGAGAAGGGATAGTCTTCTTCAGTACCCACTCCAGTATTCTTGGGCATCCCTTGTGGCTCAACTGGTAAAGAAACCACCTGCAATACGGGAGACCTGGGTTCAATCCCTGGGTTGGGAAAATCCCCTGGAGAAGGGAAAGGCTATCTGTCCAGTATTCTGGCCTGGAGAATTCCATGGAGTACATAGTCCATGGGGTTGCAAAGAATCAGACACCACTGAGCGATTTTCACTTTCATACCTGAATGGTCTAGTGGTTTTCCCTAGTTTCTTCAATTTAAGTCTGAATTTTGCAATGAGTTCATGATCTCAGCCACAGTCGGCTCTGGTTTGTTTTTGCTGACTGTATAGAGCTTCTCCATCTTTGGCTTCAAAGAATATAATCAATCTGATTTCGGTATTGACCATCTGGTGATGTCCAGGTGTAGAGTCCTCACTTGTGTTGTTGGAAGAGGGTGTTTGCTATGAGCAGTGTGTTCTCTTGGCAAAACTCTGTTAACATTTCCCCTGCTTCGTTTTGTACTCCAAGGCCAAATTTGCCTGTTACACAGGATATCTCTTGACTTAGGCATCCTTGAAATCCCACGAGGGAGCTAACTGGTCACATAACATTATCTCACTCTTTATTAAGGTATCAGTGAAAGACACTTTAGTTCCCAGCAGGGCCATTCTGTTTCTTAATATAAACCAAACGTTCCCTGATACGTCACCTCAGCATATTTTCTCTTCATATAAGAATTAAATGAGTACTACTGGGCCAAGGTATCAGAATACATTGTATAACAAATGAAATGCATGTCAATATAAGGGCATTTTGAGAGGATCTCATGGTACAAAGATGTAAGAAATTTATCCACAATATTAACATTATATCGATATGTCATAACTACATTTTACTCATAATCAAATGAAAATGATTGCTCATTTCTTTCAACTTTACACAATTTCAATGCCTAATAAATACTTATTAAACTAATGAATGACAGAAATATTCTTTCTTACTTTTTCATAAAAACTAAATCCAATTAAATTCATATTATATGAACATATTAATTTTATAGGCTGGACAAAAGCAAATAAGTTTTACATGGCAACTTAATTATAAATTATTTATTTTCTATACCAGGTTTTGGAGATATAATTGACATTGACATTTAAGACTAAGTTAAAGGCACACAGCATAATGATTTGAATTATGTTGGGCAATAAGAACTTTTCCCTTACCCATCTAGATTCTTCCAGTTGGTCTAAGAAGTAAAACGTCATGAGACAAATTAACCGGAAAAAAAAAAAATCAAAGTTTAAAAACATATGGCTGAAACCCTCAGCTTAAATACCATTTTTAACTAAAGACAAAAGAGGATGTCATAGATAGTGTTTGAGACTTCAAAGGTAAGCAAAGTGATTCATATGACGACGGAAAAGGAAATGTTTTGGAAATGGGCCACGTAGACAAGAGGACACAGAACTGTCTTAGATCTCTAGGCCCTGCTGTGTTTTCCCCACCACAACTAGCCATATTCTTTGTAGATATCTCTGGTGATAGCTCTATTGGGGAATAAGCCCTTTATCTAAAAGTTTTAGGCAGTTAGGAGCAAGGTCAAAGTTTCCTCCTGAGACTTTTGGACCTAGATTTTTTTTTTTCTCCAGCATGACATAATCTTCATGCCAAAGAAACATTTTGGGGTGGCAAGTTTTGTTCTCCTACACTTACATACATCATGAAATGATAACCATGATAAATTTAGCAAACATCTATCACCTCATACAGAGACAAAATAAATGAGAAATAATGTTTTTTTTTTCCTTGTGATGAGAACTCTTAGGATTTACTCTTAACATCTTTCATATACAACATGATTAATGTACATTACATTCCTATATTATTTATCCTGTAACTAGAAGTATGCACCTTTTGACCACCTTCATCCAACCCCCCCACCAACCTCTGGTAACCACAAATCATATCTCTTTTTCTATGAGTTTGTTTGTTTGTCTTTTGAAGTATATTTGGCCTACAACACGACAACACTGTCTCTGGTGCACAACATAGTGATTAGATATTTCTGTATATTATAAAGTGATCACAAGCCTGGTTACCATCTGTCATCCTACACAGATATTACATTGCTATTGCCTATATTCTCCACACTGTACATTTCATCCCTTTCACTCCTTTATTTTACAACTGGAAGTTTGTACTAATTTCCCACACCTATTTCACTCATTCCCTGACCACCTCCCCTCTATCAAATTACTTTTTGACATCTAACTACATTACCAGCTCTAATGGACATGAATTTGAGCAAGCTCTGGTAGGTGGTCAGGGACAGGGAAGCCTGGCATGCTGCAGGCCATGGGGTCACAAGGAGTTGGACACGACTGAGCGACTTAACAACAACTACTACTATATCATCAACACTCATATCACTCTCCTATGACAACTATTATCAGCCTTCCAATCATAAGCTTATAGTTTTACAAATGAAATACATTGTTTTAAAGGTCTAAAAGTCCTAAGGCAAATATAGCTTCAGGTACTTCTCAATTTTTTTCTTTCTCAAATATCTTGTTCTTTCTCCATCTTTGCTTTCCTCTATTTATGCCAATTTTTCTCATTCTTGGTATATAACATAGCCACAAGCATCTTTAGGTTTGTATCTTACCAGCTTAGTAACCTCACTGGAAAAGGATTTCTCATTTTCAGTAGATCTATCTAACATTTCAGATTTAGCTCTTAAACATACTTTTGTTCACATGCTCATGCTTTGACCAATTACCACTACCAATTTGAGACATGCTGATGGGACATGGCTGTATCATATGTCCCTTCCTTTAGCCATGGTAGTGAATTCAGCTAAACCTAAACCAACTGGACTAATGCTGTAGAATGAGGTTTTCCACCACGAAAATCAGGATGCTGTCAGCACAAGTTGTTACGGGGGGGACACTAAGCAAACGAAAATAAAATTCACTACTTATTCTCAAAATATACCAAAACATCTTAATCAGTATCCTATTTCTTACATTTGAAAAATCAAAACTCTATTTACAGCTTGTGTCAGTTATCCTTTCTGAGATTAATTCTGTATTCCACCCCTACACCAAAATTGTGGCCACAGATGCCCAAATAAGCCAAGGTCTTTCAAGTCTACTTTTTCTGACAGAGCCTTTCTCTACCAACACATAACTGCCATTTTCCATCTATAGAAACTGATAACTATATTTAAAGATTCAGATTTAAACATAATACCTCTGTGAAATGCCCATTAAATAAGTGTTGCACAACTCTCTGTACTTACACAATAAGACATATATAAATCTAATCTAAAATATACTGTATTGTGATAGTTTGTAGATGGTGTTTCCTAATCACTTGGGAGTACAAACTGCTCCAACAATTGACATATCTGTAGAGCTAGGACAATAACTGACCCAGTTTATGTTGGATGGATTAATTATTAAATAAGACAAATTAAATAATCTCAAATTCAGTAGCCAAATCTTGTCTTTACATGAATAATTTGAAAGAAAAACTCAAACAAGTGTTAAGTGGGGCTGATAGTATTAACGAGTCCAGAAATTCACAGAGGTCTCCTTCAAGTAGCATTACAAATAAGCATTCATTTATTTTCACCAATAAATACAGCCATCCGGGTTGCACTAAGATACATGGAACAAAATTAGCAAAGTTGGTTCAATACCATAGGTAAAATAACTATTAGGGATCCATTTTTTAAAGTTCCTGTGATAATCTGGCTAGTTTCGTTTGCAAGAGACACAAGGACAAAAATGAAACCGAAAGCTTTTATGGAGAAGAAATTCCCTGGATGAGCAGAAAAGCCTGCCCAAGTTTTGTGTTTTCTGTTTGTTTGAAACAGGATTGAGGGTCTTATAATCAAGATGAAGCCATTAAGAATTAAAAGGGAGAGGACACATTGAAGAGAGTCAACTAAGACCCTGGTGAATTATCAAAAACTCTGAACTACTTAGTGAGAGTCTACGATCTGAGGAATTCCTGAGAAAAGGCAGCGGTCCCATGGCACCTGGAAATGAGGAATGCTACATTTAAGGAGACTGACTTGGCGTGGCATTTTGAAGCAGGTGTCATGTAAAATGTAGCGAATGAAAATGCCTTCTGAAAGCCTGAGAACAGGCTGCGGCAGGGCGGGGGGCGGGGGTGCGGGGGAAGAGTTTAAGGATGGCACTTGGTACGTCATCAAGCGTCATCAAGCATCATCAGAGGGTAAACCCTCAGAAATACTGGCTGCTTTTGAACGAAATGAAACCCAACCTGAATCCAGTCCCTACTCAGTTACATAAGGAAGACAATGGATGCTTAGGCAAGGCCTCAGCAAGTTATGAGATAGAGGCGGATCTCAACTATTGCTTCACCAGAGACTACAGAGCGGAGTAGCGGAGCAGCGGGGATCCAAGCCGGACCGTTATCTGACCGAACGTGTTCCGGTCGCTCCAAGGCGGAAGTAGAAGCGGAAGAGAATTTGATGGCGGTTGTTGCGTTTCAGCACTATGTCATGAAATTCAGGTAATTTTCCACTTGTTCATCAAGATGGAAAGCTCAGATTCCAACGATGAAGAAGACAGAGTTTCGGTCCGACGCAGAGATCAGATAGACCGAAAGGCTCGAGAAGATGATTACTACAGATTCGTAAGTGATCTGAGTGAAGAAGATTACATACTTATGAGGGACAACAATTTGCTCGGCCCCCTGGGTGAAACTACGGAAGAAGAGTTGATGAGGAGACTTCAATTAATGAAAGAAAACCTACCACAAAACTCAGATGAAAATCCAGGTATATTTCTCTTTGGGGGGAATAGGATGGGATGAAACAGGAACTTCGCAGTATTAAATAATCACTTCACAATAGTAAATAGTAAATTATAAAGAAGTGGCATAAATTATTTGGTAAGGAACTTCTCATAATAAAAGAACTGACATTTACTTGATTTGCCGTGAGAACGCCAGAGATGGGTTGTTTTTTTTTTTTTTTTTCCTGATTCACATTTGGATTGTTTTAATCGGGAAACAGTGTGAAGTAGACTATTGGTTTTTGTTTGTTTAATGCTTTTGTACCTCAATGGAAAGTCCCTCCTATGTCCCGAATTATTTTCTCTATCGATGAAAGTGAAAGTCACTCAGTCGGGTCCAGAATCTTTGCAATCCCATGGACCCTACAGTCCATGGAATAATCCAGGCCAGAATACTTGAGTGGAGGGGATCTTCCCAACCCAGGGATGTATCCCAGGTCTCCCGCTTTCCCGGTGGATTCTTTAGCAGCTGAGCCACAAGGGAAGCCCAAGAATACGGGAGGGGGTAGCCTATCCCTTCTCCAGCGCGGATTTTCCGGAATCGAACGGGGTCTGATGCATTGCAGGCAGATTCTTTACCAACTGAGTTATGAGGGAAGCCCTCTCTATCTATATAGATGTGTAAAAAAAAAAAAGAAAAGCAAAAAGAAATATTTTATATTCTAACCAAATAGTTCTCAACTGGGGACTGATTTGCTCTCCCCCACCCCAAGGGACATTTGACAATAGCTGGAGATATTTTTGGTTGTCACAGAGGGAGGCATGGGTGTTACTAGATCTAGTGGGCAGAGGCCAGGGATGCTGCCAAATATGACACAATGCACAGGGTAGCTCCCCAAAATAAGAATTGCCCAGTGCCAAATTGTAAATAGTTCTAAGGCTGAGAAACCCTGCTGGAACCTCAGATCTGGTGCTTTCTCTCCCAGTGTGAAATAGAGGATTTTACTATCTAATGAAGAGGATACTATCACTTTGGTTCTTGAATATGGTCTTATATGTGCCATGCTAGGTTCAGTCTATTCATTTGATCTGACTTTCAGCTTAATGCCAATTAAAAACCTTGGTAATATTAAGAAGTATTCAAAATTCATATACTTTTAAACCTATAACCTTTGTTTATATTTGGGCAATAATCTTATATTGTAAAACAACTTATACATTATCAAAAGCATATAAGAGCCTAGGAGTAGTGATGTTGGAGACTAATGAGAATTAGACAATAATATCAATTGAATTAAAATACTAGCACTGTATGTTAACTGGTGTTTACCTTGTAGAATTGCTTTGGTGTTTTGACAGTGGACTGAAAAAAACATGTCTCTTGACATGCCTCCCACAGTGGTATACAGGGCTGTGTATATGATGAAATATTGAAAAACAGACTCCCTTCAGATACCCTCTGAATTTATCTAGGATTAGTGTACTCTTTTTCAGATGAAATTGAAACTTCCCTGCCTTTACTTATAAATCTAGATAATAAAGCTTTTAAAGTATCAACTCTGTAAATGTGAAATCAGTTGGAAACATCTGAGTGTTTAAGTTCTCATTTTTGTTTGTTTTTTAAACAAAGTTTCAGAGTGCTATTTTATGATGGTTCTAATGTTGGTAGTTCTTTTATGGCCTCTCCCCCCCCCACCTCTTTTCTTTAATTAACAGATAGAGGAGATACAAATGTGACAAGTGAACAGAAAGAAATTCCGTCTTGGAAAGAAGAGAGCCCAATTAGTGCTAACAGTGATGAGCTCAGATTTGGCTTAGAAAGAAATCTTGACCCTGATGATGAGAACTCAAATCCCGAGAATGAATGTGTAGCATCTGCAAAACTTCCCAGAAGAGAAGATACGGAAGACAGCCAAAGGCAAGTGGAAAGTCCACAATCTGAGTCACTATTTACAAGACCATCTACACCAGAACAAGATATGACAGAAACATTAATGGAAGTCCCACCGACTAGAAGTCAGCGAAGATTAAGAAGTAGCAGCCCAGTCTATCGGAGAACCAGAGCAAGGACTGACAGTTGGTCACCTCCACACTCACTGTGGGAAATTTTTCCAAGTATTAATGAAGATATACCATCTCAGACTTTTAAGCAACCTCTCATAAGTGAGAATGAGAGATTTTCTAGAACTGGGCATGAAGAAAGTTTGAGACAGCAAATGCCTGGACATGAGTTGCAAAATAGGGATCTTATTAAAACTTCTAAAACTAGGAATGCTGTTCATGAAGAATGTGATTCAGATACAATGTGCAGTAGTGAATCTTGGGAAGTGATGGAAACAAATCCAACCACTCCCTTCAATCTTGAAGTAGGGCAAGTTCATTATCAAGCATGTTCTCAGAGAGACAGCAGACTTAGTAGAACTCAGTTAACATCTGACTCACCAAACAACACTACCACTTCAGAAAGCGAGCAAGAGGAATTGAAGCCTATGTTTTCACATTCTGACGAGGCCAATGAGAGTGCTTCTGTCAATACCATCAGAAATCCCGTTCATAGAATTTTAAATACTAGCTTAAGTGACACAATATCTGTTTCAACTCAGAGTACATTATGGCAGACAATGACAGGATTTAGTAACTCAAGTAATCTTATGGACAGTGACAGTAATTTAGAGCATAGTGTCTCACCTCCAAGTGAAAACATAGAAAGGGCAGAGTCACCAAATGAAAGACATGGACCCAGTGGTAGTGAGAGTCGCCCTGGTTCTGCTTCAAATGCTAGATATGATCCTGATTCAAGTATAATAGTGATATCAGATTCAAGCCCCTATTTGATTTCTAGCTCTGCATCCAGTCCTATATTAATTTCTAGCTCAAATGATGAAGATTCAGAAACTAGCTCTCTGATCTTGGTAGAGAGTGAAGAAAGAAGCTTACCAACAGGCTTATCAGAGACCAGGCAAGAAGGTGGACGAACGTCCCCAGTCATAATCGATGATAGTGACTCTGGGTCCTCCCTTATTCTGGATCAGTTTTTCCTCCTAAATGAAGATGACCCATATGAAACTATAGGACTTACCAGAGCACAGATTGACAACTTGCCTTTAAGATATTTTGGAGAGAATGAAGAATTTAAAGCCTGTAGCATTTGTATCACAGAGTACACCGAAGGCAACACATTACGCATCCTACCTTGCTCCCATGAATTTCATGATCACTGCATTGATCACTGGCTGGCTGAGCACATAACCTGTCCGATTTGTCGTGGGCCAGTAGTGGATCCACCTGAGGCAGATAATTCTATGTGAGATCTGAATTCTCGGATATATAAAGTGTTAAGGTCATGGACAACAGTCAGCTGCCTCATGTCCACTTTTAGTGTTATCTATGTTTAAATATAACAATCTGAATCTATATGTAAGAATCGGAACTGAATTACTTGTTCCTGAAGAAATTATTGGGCTTTCCCCAATTTATGTTTGATAATAAAAGGAAATATTAAAAAGTCAAACAGTGTTGTTCTATCTGACAATAAAAATGAGTTAAACACCATAGCAGTGCACTGAATTTCAATAAAAACGTAGTATGTGCACTGGGTTGGGATATTCCTGATGTCATGAGAGAAATGTTCTAATATGATATAATCAATCCAGATAGATCCTAGTAGTATCATCTAGTCATATAAATCCCAGATATCTCTTGGCCCTGTTCAATCCTGGTTGTGCATGCAAAGAAACAGGAACCCAACTAAATAATTGAGAAGGAATTTAAGATTGCATTAGTCATTCACATAAAGAAGTCATGCTATTTTCATAGAACACCATAAAAAGCTTTGAAACCCTTCTCTTCCTATCTCCCTCCAGCAGTTTATCCCACCCTCCTAATACTACCTTAAAGTTTCTCCTATTCCCCACTAGCAATGTATTAGTCAGAGTCCAACCAAAAGCTGATGGCACACTTTAAAAGAGTGACAGAATATCATTTAATGAGGAGACTAAAATGTGAAAATAATGAAGAGAGACCAAGAGATGATGAAGTACCCAGAGGCTAGCATCTGAGAAGCCAGTATTAGAACCCCTAGGTTTGAAGGGGCATAGAGAGATGATAGTTCCTGCAACCCCAAATGTCTTAAGAGGTGTAGTAGAAGTCCACCCAGCAAGAGCTATAAGCTGAGAAAATGGCAGCCACTGCCAATCCAAAGTTTTGGAGAGGGTGCATCACAGAAATGAATACCCTTACCTTCTTTCCTCCTGACTTCTGATCTTTTGTCAGTAGTTCACATTAGCCAAATCTAACCTGAAGGACTGATGCTGAAGCTGAAGCTCCAATACTTTGGCCACCTGATGGGAAGAACCGACTATTGGAAAAGACCCTATTGGCCAGTGCAAAAAATTTTCCTTAACATTTTCCATCCTGATACAGGTACATCATATTACAACCTAAAGCAACAGTCTTAACTTTGTACAATTGCAACCTGTACAAATGCAGGTAGTGTTAAGTATAAACCTGCTCTAAAAATTTAAAGTCAGAAACATCATTGACCTTTATTTTCTATGTGAATTGCTGGTGGCCACTGTATTTGCACATAACTACAAAATATAAATGGGGAGTAGTGGTGAAGTTTTTAAATTCACCTTTCAGCTAACAGAAGATATCTGCATGGCCATACATGAAGACTTAGGTCAAACCTCTGAAACTGACATTAACTAATACTGAAATTTGTTGAATATTCTGATTTTTGTTAAGCATTTCTGATACCAGGTGTACTTCATCTACTATGAGTAGAATAATTATAACAGTACTTGGTTTTCATAATATCCTAATAGCTTCCAGTCTTCCAAAGGATGACAGTTGCTTAATTAATGCTTCAGTACATTCACATGCACCTTCTGTGGTTGACAGAATTCTAAGATGATGCCTAATGATCCTCGAAGTAGCCCCTCCCCTTGAGTATGAGACCTGTAAATATGATGGAGTATTGTTCCCATTGTTAGATTATGATAAACAGCACAGTTGATTGGGAAATTATCCAGAGTGAGCATGTCCCAATCAGGTGACCACTTGAAAGGCACAGAGAGCACTTCTAATCCATATAAGATGGTTTATGCTCCTCTTTCCCTGCTCCCATTTTAGAAACCCAACTATATATCCTGGAAACAATATAAAACAACCAAATGTGAGCTCTGAAAGATCTAAAGAAGAAGGTGAGTTGGCTAGGGACCCTTAGAATGACTGAGCAACTTCATGGTGGGGCACATTATGACCTCTACCAAGAAGAAATGTGACCCAAACCCAGCATTTCCTCTCAACTTAGTAACAGGAAGTGGCTCTAATGGGCTCTTCCACCATCACATCAAATAGGAATTCCACAAATACCAAAGGAAACCTGCAGAAACTAAAAGGAGAAACAATGGAATTATCTTTTGAGGGTATGGGAGGATTCCTGGAAGAGATGTTACCTGAGAAAAAGAGGATAAAAAGAAATTGCCAAGTGAATAGGAGACATTTTTTAGCTTCTATTTCTATTCATTTCTCACAACAAAAGAAAGATTAACTAAAAAAAAGGTATAAAAGCAACAACTCACTACAAATTCACAAATACCCCTCCTCTGTTTTCTTCTCCTTGTGTTCCTTTCACCCACCCAAATGCTTCAGTATGTAAGCTTTTCTCTCAAGACAATGGGGTCCACAGCATGGCCATCACAAATTTGAATGTTGACCAATAGGTGAAATTCCGAATGAATAATTATACTCAGAGACTAAACAATCCTTGAAACCAAGTGAGAGAAACAGGGTTTGGCTTATCTGCTCTGAAATACTACCTGAAAGATTGAATCCATAATGTTTCCGTATGTTTGAAAGCAAATTGAAGAGTAAACCCTGGGTCTTTATATGTACATGTGTGAGGTGTGTGTGTGTGTGTGTGTGTGTGTGTGTGTGTGTGCTTTGATTCATGAAATGTTGGGGAGAAACATGGTATGATGGAAAGGGCAATGGCACCAGAAACATGGGTTTAAAATTCTATACCCGTCACTCTCTTGCCATGAAACTTTAAAAACTCATTTAATGACCCACTTAATGCTTTTTCATTTGAAAAAGAATGAGACTTTTTCCAGCTTTAAAGTTTGATGATTACATGGTCACTTTTAGTTTCACCTGTTTCAGACTGAAAGTGAAAGTGTTAATTGTTCAGTCATGCCTCCGACTCTCTGCAAGCCCGCTAGGCTACTCTGTCCATAGAACTCTCCAGGCAAGAATACTGGTGTGGGTTGCCATATCCTCCTCCAGGGGATTGTCCCTTCCCAGGAATCGAACCCGTGTCTCCCGGATTTCAGGCAGATTCTTTACTGTCTGAGCCACCAGGGAAGCCCCTTTAAAGACAACCCATCTAAATAAACTCTCAGCTATTTCTAAATTTCCAAGTATATACAGACAGCTGATTACTTATGACCTCTCACTGACAGGCCTATTCCACTCAAATAAAGCCAACTATACTACAGAAATGTACTCGATCTGTCTGGAATACAGAACTAAATATCTATCCACTCACTGTGTGAGTATATACACTTAATAAAATGCTCTGTAGTAATGATGACTGTGGTCTTTAGTGTCCCATGAACCTAAATATGTTGGTTAATAAGTTAAGTGAGTTGCTCAGTCGTGTCTGACTCTTTGCAACCCCATGGACTGTTGCTCGCCAGGCTCCTCCATACATGGAATTTTCCAGGCAAGTATACCAGAGTGGGTTGCCATTTCCTTCTCCAGGAGATCTTCCTGACCCAGGGATTGAACCCAGGCCTCCAGCATTGCAGGGCGATTTTTACCATCTGAGCCACCAAATACGTTGGTTAAAGAAGTAAAATGTAGATTCCACTGTTTGTCATTTACATGTAACTGATTTATATGAAGGTTACTGATAGAAAAATATGTTTCTGCTAATAGTAATTATGTACTGTGCTTAGTCACCCAGTCCTGTCTGACTCTTTGCGACTCCATGGACTGTAGCCTGCCAGGCTCCTCTGTCCATGGAGATTCTCCAGGCAAGAATACTGGAGTGGGTTGCCATGCCCTCCTCCAGGGACTCTTCCCAACCCAGGGATGGAACCCAGGTCTCCTGCAATGCAAGTGGATTCTTTACCATCTGAGCCACCACGGAAGCCCCTTTCTATCCATCAAAAGTGAAAGTCATTATTTTGTCAAGATCTGATTCCTGATAGTCACTTACTTAGCACTGCCCAGTAGATTTTCAATATTAGGATTCTTTATGGATATATTCATGTTACTTTTATTTTCACCTTTTATATTTGTATCCACTAAGTAGTATTTTCACAACACATGCATATGAATATTTGTGGATCATTTTAATGCATCTTTCATAATCTCAAAATCTCTTTCAAGACCCATTTGCTATGAAGAGGCCTTACCTCTTAAATAACCTCTTAAATAGATGATTTATTTTCATATTTGAAGTGAATATTTATTTTCATATTTGCAAATGAAAAAGTTTCATGTTTAGGAAAGAAACCATGTCACCTTATATAGACACCCAAGCACAGAAAAATCTGTATGTGTTACGCACACACATATATAGTCATATATATATGCATATATTTATGTCTGTATATATTGTGCATATAAATGTGTGTATGTGTGTATATGTATTGTCATTTTTCCACTCACCCATACATACATCTATTGATCTATCTAGATATTTCCAACACATAATATCCTTAAAAAGATAAGACAGGATCAGAGTATCATAGAAATTTAGAGCCCAAAAGATCCTTAGAGATCATTTAAAAACAAAGAATGTTTTTCTCAGAGACGTAAATCTCCAAGACAGTACCAGTAGAAAGAACTCAGCTGGAATCTAATCCCCATGTCCCAATTACAAGTTCAGCTTCCACCCCCCCACACTACGCTGTCTTTTGCACAAATATTTGGTATATAGATGGATAGATACTGAACCTGAGAATAAAGTGTCAGTGCTGAAACTATTTTCTGTACTGAACATCCTGCTGTCAACTAGATTCTCCTTTGAGTTTTGAAGTCTTCTGATGGTTACTGTCAGTCCCAACCCCTCCTGGGTATTTTCACATGTAATCAATAGGAGGAGAACTTTCTGTCAGACATCAATCAGTTCTTTAAACCACAATTATCTATTAAAATACTGTTTTTAAGTCAGAAAAAAATGGATGTGGCAAACACAGCTTTGCTCACAGACACATACACACACACACACACAAATTACAAATAGTATTCAACTGCTCTAACTTCAGGCTATTCAATAACTAGATAAATGAAATAT